GGCATAATCGATAACTTCTCTGCCATTCCTATTTTTTTACAAAAATTGAAAAAAAAAAACTTCCTTACAGTCTTTATTTTAACTGAAACTGCTCGCAAAATTTTTATATTAAATGAAATTTTCCAAAATTGACATTTTTTGCGGGAATTTTTACAAAAACTAAAAAAAATCAGTAAAATAGATAGTGAAAAGAACCTCCGGCATATGTAATGCGCCGCATATACAACAAGTCTCATACAGTATAAACATATGAAGCATATTATAACCAGCAACACCAAGCCAAGCTTAAAAATCGAAAAATTCTGTCAAAAAGCTACCAAATTGTACAGTTTGAATACCGAAACCAAGAACAACAAACCACCCGTAAAAACAATACGGGGATTTTTATGTTACTGATATAACCGGAATGTTCCAGGCGTTTTTTTTTTTTGTTAACAAATTCTCATGATTATTCTACGGGTTTCGCCAAAAATTATAAACATTTTAACAAATTTTCTTCACAGTCTCAGCTTTTCATCCATTTGTAAAAGCCTTATTTATTTATTTTTCAAATAGGTTAAGTTTAAACTGTTGGCTTTCAAATCCAATTCTCACCCCTTCCATTCAACATCTCACATACACATGAAATTTGTGGTCATTCCCCCTTCAACAATTTGACTTAATTACATTTAGTATGCTTCATTTTATTTCAAAACTAGATATTTTATCTATTTTTATTTTTTATTTGATTTATTTGAGTATTTTTTCTGCTTTCTTTTCGTTTTTTAGATTTCGAAGCTTTTAAAAGTAAAATTTATTTTCCAACAGGTACTTATATGTTGTCATATTTTTCATGTACATTACATGTAGATTTTTCCTTCTTTGTTCTTATCTTAAAACCGTGTACAGTACACACATACTAAACCATCATCTAAATTATCTTTATTACCATAATCGGTGTACTGACGAGGTCCAGTTGTGGTAACGATAAGAAATGTATACGACTTAATGGCCCGAAACATTTCTTACCTATTATAAATATTTTCATATTCCCATTTCCCTTTTTTTCACTTCGTTTTTCTTTCCCTTTTTCATTTTTTTTCTATTCCATCATTTCATACCTTATCCTTCAATATTTTTCAAACGAATTAATTCTATTCAAAACTGAACGATACCCATAATCCAGCATTTTTGAACGCCAATGGTAGCGAAAGGAGTCCTGTGCCAAGCATAGCTTTGACCATGTGCGCGAATGCTTGTTCCGGGCTGAGACTATTGGCTGTCTTGGCTCGTTCTGCGAACAAATACGTTTCCTCGTAATCCACACTTGGGCCATCACTTCCCGTTGCTATTGCACTGTTACCCACATTTGCAGTCCCCACCTGAAATGAGAACATGCTGGAATTTTATCGAAACATTGAGTTATTTGTTATAAAAAACTTGAAAAATTATTTTTATCCCCCGAAAACATCAAACTTTGGCCGAAATTTATCAAAACATTGAGTTGTTTACTACAAAAAACTTGAAAAATCATTTTTATCCCTCCAAAAATATCAAACTTTGACCGAAATTTATCAAAATACCGAATTAGTATTGTTATAAAATCTTAGAAAAATTATTTTTATGCTTCCAAAATATCAAAAGCCATACTGTTTTTTTTTTTTTTGTATTTTTCCATATTTTTTCAATTATTCGCTTAAATTACACGGGGGATTCTATCAATGACATACACTTACACTGCACTCATAGTATGTATCTGATTTTTCACATGTACCATTTAGGACAAGTTATTTTAATTCCCCCAAAATATCGAAGCCATGCTGATCTTTCTTTTTATGCGTTTTTTGCAGCAATGCAATGCGAAAAACGCATATTGACGAGAGGTTGTCT